TTTTTTTTTTTTTTTTGAGACAGAGTCTCAAGCTGTTACCCTGGGTAGAGTACTGTGAGATCATAGCTCACAGCAACCTCCAACTTGGGCTCAAGCAATTCTCTTTTTTTTTTTTAAGTTTTTGACCTTTATTTGTCATCTTTTTCCATTTGACAGGTTTGCCCAAGATCTGACCCCCTGACCTGACCCAACCCGACCTGACCTGACCCAAGCTTGAAGGGAAGAATATCTAGGATCTATCCCTGCCTACCCCTCCCTGCACTGCCTCCCCACTGGGCTTTGAGAGGACTGATTTGTGTCCACGTGGAAGGAACAGGCCCAGGTGCGCTGGATCGCCACTGTAATCCTAGCATTCTGGAAGGCCGAGTCCGGTGGAGACCGGAGACAACTATCCCCCCATCCCCCCCACCATAGTTCCAGCTGTTCGGGAGGCTGAGGCCAAAGGATCTGTGGAGCTCAAGAGTTCGAGGTTGCTGTGACTTATGATATGATGCCGCCACGGAGCTCTTCCCAGGGAGGTGGAGTGAGACTACAGTTATGCTGTTGTCGATGGTTGTGTGTGTAGACGTGGATGAAAAAAAATTTTTTTTAAGATAGAATGACACACCCCTAGGCTCACAAGCTGGGGACTTCACCCATTAGCTGTAGTAGTTACCAGGAGGCAAGCAGTGCTTATTGTCAGAGCAGATGTTTCGAAAGAAAAAAAGGAAGGAAACAAGCAAGCAAGCGATTCTCTTGCCTCAGTTTTCTTTTTTCTATTTTGGAGACTGGAGATAGAGTCTCATTTGGTCACCCTTGGTAGAGGTGCCATGGCATCTTAGCTCACAGCAACCTCAAACTCTTCGGTTCAAGTGATTCTCTTGCTTCAGCCTCCCAAGTAACCTGGGACTACAGGCGCCCGCCACAGCACCCGGCTATTTTTTAGAGATGGGGTCTTGCTCTTGCTCAGGTTGGTCTTGAACTCATGAGCTCAGGCAATCCACCTGCCTCAGCCTCCCAAGTGCTGGGATTGGAGTGAGCCACCTCACTGGGTCCCAGTTTTCCTATTTTTAGTAGAGACAGGGTCTGGCTTGTGTGCAGGCTGGTCTTGAACTCCTGAGCTCAAAGCAATCCACTTGCTTCGGCCTCCCAAAGTGCTAGGATTACAGGGGTGAGCCATCGCACCTGGCCTCACTATTTTGCTCTTTTTGGTAGAGATAGGGTTCTCCCTCTTGCTCAAGCTGATCTCAAACTCCTGAGCTTCAAGGATCCTCCAGCCTCAGCTTTCCAGAGTGCTGGCATTACAGGCGAGAACCACTGTGCTGGGCCCTGTGATGTAATTTTAATGCATAATCAAAATGTTTATTAAACATAACCCATTTGTTTGAAAAAAGATACAGACCTAATACCCTAACAGCAAATAATGGGAAAAGATCACACTGATGACTCCAGTTTTAAAATGTCTGCATGTGAAAGATATTCATGGTCAGTGGAACATCTTTTGGGAGGAAAAACCCAATGACTCAACAAATTGAGATCCAGAACTAAGAAAATCATCAGGTGAAATGGTAGAAAGCAAACAACTTGTTTTATTTGAATTTCATTTCCTGAGAGGATAACTGGTATTGCAGAGCCACTTAATAAAGATGTATAGTTTTACTGGAGATTCAGATAGGCATTGATTTACGTGTACATTACAATCCTTAGACTCACACCATTTTAAAAAACTCATTGTCTTCAAGGAATTATGTGTTTCACAAATTTTGCTATTTTAAATAACACTTAAATTGTCACATAGACAATGACATCAGAATCATGCCAGAGCAATTTTACTATTTGTACACACATGTGGGCATTAATGATCTTTAGTGTTTGAACAGATTCCAGGTCACAGAACAAAAGCAAATTTTCACTTTTGTGTGTTTTCAGCACATTTACACATCTATCTCCTTTTGAGTAAGACATGTCTGCTCAAATAATTACCCCTTTTGGATATCATTCTCTCAAATCAAATGTCTATTTAACCTTGTATTCTACGAAAAAAAATGTAATTGCAATCGAATTTCCTAGAGATTCTTAGAATCTCTACTTCTGAATACTGCCCCATGCTGCTATTACATATTTTTCTTACAACTTTAGTTTTCTCTTAGGAATGTCTTTAGTTAGGGGAATGGAATCTTACAAACATTTAATATAGGATGTTAATATCTACTAAGCAAAAGATGCTTGCTTCTCTTCCCACAAAAGCCAAACATAAAACAAAGTGTTACTAATGTTTTCTATTTATTCATTAATAAAAAGTGCATAGTACAAGCCCTTTATCCCAATCCAAGTACTCAGTAAATGATTAACAATAAACCCTGGATGGCACAGACATGATTTGGCATGATTTAAAAAACAGCAGTTATCACTTAGTATATCACATGACCACTTTTGCTTTTAACAAAGTCATTGTCAGACATGGTAACAAATACATAATGATTTTTCATTTTGAAATATTATTAAGACTAAACTTATTACTATTGTAACAACAAAAGTTTAACCCATTAGCTGTAAACTCTCTTCATTTTCTCCTTCTTCAGGTTGCTGTTTTGTGTCATAAACTGAGCTGGTCAAATTGAGCACGTGTTTGAGTGACAGACTTTCATTTAGAGTGACAGACTTCCAAGGTACCTTTGAAAACTTAAGATATTAGTAATTCCAGAAACGCTATTACATCACATACCATAAAGATACTAAAAGTAACCATGGAATAGCTGTATTCAATAGTTAATTCAGAAAATCTCTGCAAGTTATAAAATATAACATACTGACTACAGGATAGTGCTTACACAGATAACATGATAAAATCTTTTACTAAACATTTCCAATGTTAACCTTTTCCAGGTGGAAAGCAAAATCAAAAAACAAACCAAAAATACCCCACCATTATTTTGCATAAAAGAACAATAAATGACTCTAATACAAAATAAAGTCTTTATGGCATTTGTGGAATGTTTAAGAGCCAAGTGTTGAAAATGTAAGCTTTATTTTTCTTTTTTCAGACTAGTTTTTTAAAAATTATAACCACAGTTCATTGGATATTTACAAGCTAAGTAATGATTTAAGGGTGTACTCATAAAAAGGCCACACATAGAAGCTTTAAGAATTAAATAGAAATTACTAGTTAGATTAACAAGAGTATGTGCAGTACACTGTCTCAGAAATGCAGAGAAATTTTACAAGCAAAAAAATCCAAGACTAAATATTTCACCAAGAACATTTGTTACTAACTAAATGGCCCATATATGAAAACGCTTATAATATGTCAATTAAGTATATGTGACAGAACTAGGAATAAGAATCCAGATTTTCAAGTGTCTAATACTGAACATTCTGTATCCATGTTCTGGCAACTTATTCTACCAAAGCCATTCTCAATTATTTGCAGGCTACAGGTTCAGTGACTACATCCGTTATCTCTGCCAGGGACTGGCTTCCTAGCAGCTCAGAGAACAACAGATTGTTAGGATATGTGGTCAACCCTTCAAAGTTCAAGGGACAAGGGCAGAAAAAGGGAGTTAGCTCCATTTTATGCTGTTCTGGTGCTTTCTGCTTTCAATACTTTACCAACTACAGAGCTAGGAAGCCTTCTAGTAGGCCACAGCAAAAGAACAAAACCTTTACTCTATGGTATTTGTTTATCCAGGATATAACTTACCTGTGTTACCTTCTATTAGCACAAGTAATTAAGAGTTGTTTGTTATTTCAAGAAGTTGAGCACAAAGCTAAGGAGAAATTCAAGCAGTCAATATTGGAATATATAATGAAATGATGCCTTAACAATGTTTGTGGCCTAGAATGTAGTCAGAAAGGGAAAATATAGCCTATGCGTGTCACACAATTGTATCAGAGACTATTAAGCAGTACAATGATACAAAGAAGTTTATTTAATTCATACAAGTAATTTAACAGATCTATACAGTAAAAAGTTAGACTGACCTAAGAGAAAAAGATCCTTACATTGCTAGCAAAATATCTTCTACTTCCCCCAAATCATCTGCAATCACTTGCTAGGAAAAAAATTCCATAACCATGCAGGTCACGCAGATTTTTAAATGCTATTTATACTGACTTTTTTCCAAAATGAGCAAAACAATGCAACCTTCTACTATTTTATACATTTGAAAATTTCACTTACAGTTCCTTCCCACCCCATTAATTAATTAATTAATCCATCCCATTACCAAAGAGAAATGAGACAAGGGGTGAGAAAAAGATCCTTGATTGTTCTCATTTTCCTTATTTTTCCTTGGAATAAACCAAGGATTTATTAAAGATTTTTATAAGTCAGAAGCATAACAAAAGCCTCAATTTTTTCTTCAAATAAAAAAATGAAGTAAATAGGCATTCAAATGTCAGTAACCTAACAGGCCCTGATACACCTTTAAGATAGGGAAGTGTTAGAACAGAAAAGAAGCTTCCCCAGAGGCACTCATTTTAAAAATAAATTATAGCTTAAATAATTACTATATAGATTACAATGGCAGAAAGAATTAGTTTTTCCTCCTCTCATAAACCTTGTAAGGCTAGTGCACAGTGACTTACAAATGTCAGATAATGGACTGTAAATCATCAATGATGTTTACTCAAATTTTCATTACTTTAGACATTTTTAATAGGAGTAGAAAAATTAGTAAACAACCATTTCATTTTTTCTCTCCTCCTATTCTAGCCACCTGGGCCAGTTGTAATAGATGATACAGATTTCAACTGAAATTTATAAAATATTCTAAGAGCTGCTACAGTCCCAAGAACTAGAGAAAACTGCCATCCACAAATAAACTACCAAAGTCAATGTAAATACAGTGTGGTTCTAAGTTTCTTCCATACAATCTCAGACAACCCTAAGTAACTTTATAAATACCTTATTTTAAAAAGCAATTTAAAAACCTACCAAAACTATTTAAAATATTTAAATGCAGAGCTCTCAAATTTCCTTCAATCAGGCCAGAAATCTTCAAAAAAATTATGATCACAGTTACAAACAGAATGAGTGGAATGTTTAAGTTTAGGACAACCAAAAAAGCCCCATGTAATTTTTTTTAATATAATCATTTACTCAAATATACTGTAAATAGGAATGGTTATAACACAGGAAGCAAAAATAAGCTTGCAAGTGAAATTTCTAGAAGCTCATGAAAAGAATACCATCCCATATTGCAGATGCAAAAGGAAAAACAGTTCTACTGGGGTTAAGAGTACTCTGGTCATCTTCATTTGTTTGGTCTTGCAAGGTGTTAACTATTTTCACTTCCAATATCATAAAGTTAGTCCACAGGAGGAGCTGGTGGGTCTTGCCCCTGGTATAGGAAAGAAATAAATTATTTAGTGGACTTGTTAAATCCAACCAATCTAACATATAGAAAGAACTGAGCAGGAATGCCCTCCCCTGCTCTTCCCAAACTATACATTTATTTGGACTTTTTTTTTTTTTTTTTTTTTTGAGACAGTCTCACTATGTCACCCTGGGTAGAGTGCTGTGGCGTCACAGTTCATGGCCACCTCAAACTCTTGGGTTTAAGTGATTCTCTTGCCTCAGCCTCCCAAGTAGCTTAGACTACAGGCGTCTACCATAATAACACCAGGCTGTTTTTTGGTTGTAGTTGTCATTATTCGACAGGCCTGGGATGGGTTCAAACCCGCCAGCTCTGGTATATGCGGCTGGCGCCCTAGCCGCTGAGCTATTGGCACCAAGCCTTTTTGGATTTCTTACTATCTTTTCCATTTTTTTTTTTGTTGTTGAGACAGAGTTGCAAGCTGTTGCCCTGGGTAGAGTGCCAGGGTGTCATAGCTCACAGCAACCTCCAACTCGGGCTCAAGCAATTCTCTTGCCTCAGTTTATCTATTTTTAGTAGAGATGGGCTCTTACTTTTGCTCAGGTTGGTCTCAACTCCTGAGCTCAAGCAATCTACCTGCCTCAGCCTCCCAGAGAGCTAGGATTATAGTAAGAGCCACTGAGCCTGGCCTCATATCTTTTCTATATAAGGGAATACTAGATTAACACCATGATTCTCATTGGTCTCATTCTTTTCTGTAGGATGAAAGAAAGGGAATTTGTGTATCGGTGATATGACTCTCCCTGCCAGCTCTAGAGAGCGTTTTTTCTTTTTTTCCTAGAGACAGAGTTTCACTTTGTCACCCTCAGTAGAGTGCTGTGATGTCACAGCTCACAGCAACTTCCAGCTCTTGGGCTTAGGTGATTCTCTTGCCTTAGCCTCCTGAGTAGCTGGTACTACAGGTGCTCGCCACAATGCCTGGCTATTTTTTGTTGTTTTGGTCCCTTGGTATATGGGACCAGCGCCCTACTCACTGAGCCACAGGTGCCACCTGAGCTCTAGAGATCTTCAAACTGATAAAGGTATTTTCATCCCTAATGCTGAATTGATTGATTGAGCAAAGTAGTTGACATTCAAAGTGAAGCTAGTGACTTTTGTTTCTTACTAAAGAATGTTTGTCACCCCTGGCCCTAAGGGGAGTCCACTTTGGAACGAAGCTTAGAGTATGAGGAAATGAGGTCTTTGAAAACACTATTCACCTATATTTATTTTTCTTTTGATTAAGAGTCTTACTCTGTCACCCTGGGGTTGAGTGCTGTAATGTCATAACTCACACAGCAACCTCAAAACTCTTAGGCTCAAGAGACCCTTTTGCGTCAGCCCTGCCTCCCTCCCCAATAGCTGGGAGTACAGGCACTTGCCACATTGCCCACCAATTGCAAAAATAATTGCAATTATTTTTCTATTTTTAGTAGAGATGGGGTTTTGCTTTGCTCAGGCTGGTCTCAAATTCCTGAGCTCAGGCAATCCACCTGCCTTGACCTCCCAGAATGCTGGGATTATAGGCATGAGCCATGGTGTGTTCACCTTTGGATGACACCGTTGGATCTTTTTGATGTGCAAACCAATAAAGCTACTTGCAATAGAGAGCATGTGAATTGTAAGGGAAGGATCAGAATGTTTAGGAATCTTCAGGAATGAAGACATGACATATGGAGAACCCAGCTGAGAGTGATCAATATATCTACTTGGAATTAGAGTCAGTATGTTTTCTTGCTTAGTTCTAGGGCAGTGGAACTACTGTTCCTAAAACTGTTGGCCTCAAATAAATTTAGGTTCAAGGGAGTATAACCTTTCTGTCACATTTAATGGCTTCTGGTTTTGTTTTGGGGTTGTTTTTGGGGGGAGGTTGGTGTTGAGGCACAGTCTCACTTTGTTGTTGCCTGGGTTAGATGACAGTGATGTGTCATCATGGTTCACTGCAACCTCTAACTGCTGGCTTTAAGCTGGCCTCCCATCTCAGCCTCCCATCTCAGCCTCCCAAAGCGCTAGGATTATACAGGCATGAGCCAGCATGCCCAGCCTTATTATTATTTTTTTAGAGAAGAGGATCTTATCTTCCCCAGGCTGGAGCACAGAGGTATGATCATAGCTCACTGTAACCTCCAACTCCTGGACTCAAGCAATCCTCCTGCCTCAGCCTCTCAAGTAGCTGAGATTACAGGCATGTGACACCATGCCTAAGTAAATCAGGTAATTAAAAGTTGACTTTCTTTAGCTTATTAAGGAAGTTGCTCTTTGATATGAAATTAATAAAGCTGTACCTAGAAAGTAAGAAAAAAGGCTAAGGAGAAAACACTTAATCAAGATAGTATAAGGCCAGGCATGGTCGCTCATGCCTCCATAGCATTCTGGGAGGTGGAGGCGAGTGGACTGCCGGAGCTCATGGGTTCAACACCAGCCTCAGCAAAAGCGAGACCCAATATAGCTGGGTGCTGGGGCAGGCACCTGTAGCCCAGATACTCAGGAGGCTGAGGCAAGAGAATCATTTGAGCCCTAGAGTTTGAGGTTGCTGTGAGCTATGATGCCACAGCACTCTACCAAGGGTGACAAAATAAGACTGTTAAAAAAAAAAAAAAAGGTATACAAGCTGTTCTATATATAACCTCCTCTGAAAAAACAAAAGCACTGACAATTAACAGTGCACATTTGCATTCTCCTATTTAAGAAATCAGTCTATCTGAACTTATGTCTAATAAGACAACATTGGAGGGAGGAAGCAATTATTTTAAGAATTCCATATGGTAGGCTCAGCACCTGTGGCTCAAGTGGCTAAGGTGCCAGCCACATACACCTAAGCCGGCGGGTTCGAATCCAGCCCGGGCCCCTCAAACAACAATGACGGCTGCAACCAAAAAATAGCAGGCCCTGTGGCAGGCACCTGTAGTCCCAGCTACTTGGGAGGCGGAGGCAAGAAAATCACTTGAGCCCAGGAGTTGGAGGTTGCTGTGAGCTGTGATGCTACAGCACTTTACCCAGGGTGATAGCTTGAGGCTTTGTCTCCAAAAAAAAAAAAAAATCCCATATGGTAAAGACTGTAGAAGAGAATTAGTGGGATACTTTGGTATTCAACCAGGGAATCCATCATAGACATTTTCCTTCTTTTTTGATGCTGTATCATCCTATAGATGTTTTTATTTTATTTTAAATATATTATTTAAATTGACAAAATTGTATGCAAGTTTATTTATCACGTGCCTGTTGTTTTGAAGTATGTGTACACTGCAGAATGGCTAAATCGAGCTAATTAAACATATGCATGGAGACGTTTCAAAAGAGGCTGTATTCAAATTAAAGGAAAAAATACATAAATAGGGTGGCACCTGTGGCTCAGTGAGTAGGGCACCAGACCCATATACCAAGGGTGGTGGGTTCAAACCCAGCCCCGGCCAAACTGCAACAAAAAAAACAGCTGGGCATTGTAGCAGGCACCTGTAGTCCCAGCTACTCCGGAGGCTGAGGCAAGAGAATCGCCTAAGCCCAAGGTGTTGGTGGTTACTGTGAGCTGTGACTTCATGGCACTCTACTGAGGGTTAATAAGTGAAACTCTGTCTCAAAAAAAAACCCCCAAAAACATAAATACTGAGTACTGAAAAGGATTAAAAGTAATCCTTTGGCCAGGTACTGTGGGTCATGCCTGTAATCCTAGCACTCTGGGAGACCAAGGCATGTGGCGTGCCTGAGCTCAGGTTGGAGACCAGTCTGAGTAAGAGTGAGACCCCCATCTCTACTAAAAATAAAAGACACTAGCCAGGCATTGTGGTGGGCACCGGTAGTCCCAGCTACTTGGGAGACTAAGAGAGGAGAATAGCTTGAGCTCAGAAGTTTGAGGGTATAGTGAGCTGTGATGCCATGGCACTCTACCTAGGGGGACTGAGTGAGACTCTGTCTCAAAAAAAAAAAAAAAAAAAGTGTATGGGGCTTGATCAACTGTGAGGTGCATAAAACTGGGCAGTGAAGGACTGGCATTAGAACAACACTGCTGTGGATTATGAAACTCATCACTTTTGATATTTCTCATGTGAGTAAAGAATGAAATTCATTTAAAAACTATTTTTTGGCTTCTGGTATGTTTTTCCATCTATATTTAACTCCACAAGATTAAGTCATTTGGGGTTTCAAGATTTACTAGAACTATAGAGGAAGAAGTTACCCTATGAGTTAAATTAACGTTCCTTTTGCCAATTTTGATATTTCAGTCAAAACAAAGTCCTCTCCCTCCCTAGTCCATATACATGCCCCTACCCAAAAAGTATTTACTATCAACAACACTTACATTGTTAGCACTGGTTGGCTTTCCAGATAGGTTGGATCCTCTTAGATTAGGAGGTCTCAGTAAGAATAAGATCACTGCAATAACCATCCAGGCCATCAAGATCATAGTAACACTGATGCCATTATCACCAGAGGGTCCTGGCACTAAAGACAAAGAAAAAATATATTTACAACAAAACTGCAACATGGTTATAATACTGTTAAACATAAAAACAAATTCTAATGTTTAAATTTCTCCTTCAGAAATTGTAAGAATAAATTAGAGAAGTAAAATGTGAAGTAGCACATCCTCAATTTCCCTTTCCTTTAGTGAGAAAATCTAAATGGTAAATGATGTTAAATAATCATAAACTAAACTCTAATAAATGAAGATTGTTAATAGTGTAATAATTCTTAACACTTTAGGGCAACAGAATCCTTTGAGCATCTAATAAAAATTAAGACCGCTGGGCAGCGCCTGTGGCTCAGTGGGCAAGGCGCCGGCCCCATATACCAAGGGTGGCAGATTCAAACCTACTCTGGCCAAACTACAACAAAAAAATAGCTGGGCACTGTGGCCGGCGCCTGGAGTCCCAGCTACTCGGGAGGCTGAGGCAAGAGAATCGCCTATGCCCAGGAGTTGGAGGTTGCTGTGAGCAGTGTGACTCCACAGCACTCTACTGAGGGCGATAAAGTGAGACTCTGTCTCTACAAAAAAAAAAAAAAAAAAAAAATTAAGAATGCTTTCAACTAAAAGAATCCATAGGCTCGGCACCTGTGGCTCAAGTGGCTAAGGCGCCAGCCACATACACCTAAGATGGCGGGTTCAAATCCAGCCCGGGCCCTCCAAACAACGATGGCTGCAACCAAAAAAAAATAGCGGGGAGTTGTAGCAGGCACCTGTGGTCCCAACTACTTGGGAGGCTGAGGCAGGAGACTCACTTGAGCCCAGGAATTGGAGGTTGCTGTCATGCCACGGCACTCTACCCAGGGGGACAACTTGAGGCTCTGTCTCAAAAAAAAAGAATCCATGTACATGCAATCAACAATTTTGCATATAATTCTGGAAGGTTCAAGGACCCACAAGGCCACCAATCCATAGATCTGATGAGATCTACAGAATCCACGTTAAGACCACCTGATACATAGTAAAACACTCTCCTTTAGGAAGGAAAAATAATCTGCATGTTAATTATTGAGGAAGCACAAAAACATATGGCTTATGAAAAAGGAACATCAGGGCTGCATGATGTACAAATTAAAAGACCCCTTTAATTCTATTCTCAGCCACAAAAAGATTTGGCCCTCTTTTTTACAAAAAAAGCTGAATTAAGATCTTGAAATTTGACTCGGCGCCTATGGCTCAAGTGGCTAAGGTGCCAGCCACATACACCTAAGGTAGAGGGTTCGAATCCAGCCCAGGCCTGCCAAACAACCACGGCTGCAACCAAGAAATAGCCGGGTGTTCTGGTGGGCGCCTGTGGTCCCAGCTACTTGAGAGGCTGAGGCAGGAGACTCACTTGAGCCCAGGAGTTGGAGGTTGCCGTGAGCTGTGATGCCATAGCACTCTACCCAGGGGGACAGCTTGAGGCTCTGTCTCAAAAAAAAAAAAAAGATCTTGTTTTACATTATTTTTTAATATTTATTTATTTATTTGGAGACTCTCACTTTCTTGTCCCCAGTAGAGTACTGTGGCATCATTGCTTACAACAACCTCAAATTCCTGGGCTCAAGCAATCTTCTTGCCTCAGCCTCCCAAGTAGCTGGGACTACAGGTGCCTGCCATAACACCCGGCTATTTTTTAGAGTAGGGGGGTCTCACTCTTCCTCAGGCTGGTCTTATACTTGTGAGCTCTAGCAATTTACCTGCCTCAGCCTTCCAGAGTGCTAGGGTTACAGGCATAAGCCACCACACCTGGCCTATTTTTTTGAGACAGAGTCTCACTTTGTCCCCTTGGGTGAAGTGGATGACATCATAGCTCACAGCAACCTCAAACTCTTGGGCTCAAATGATCCTCTTGCCTCAGCCTCCCTAGTAGCTGGGACTATGGGTGCATACCCATTGCAAGTCTATTTTTTAGAGACAGGGTCTCAGCTCTGGCTTAGGCTAGTTTCAAACTCCTTAGTTCAAGCAATCCACTCACCTCAGCCTCCTAGAGTACTGTTAGAGGTGTCAACCACCATGCCTGGCCTTAAGATTTAGATATTTTAAAAGTCTGTGCATTTATCAAGAGAAAAAGTCAGACAGGTCTGTGTGTGTAAGTTATTTTGGTCTTTCCTGGCTTCTGAGGTAGCCAAATGTTATTTATTTATTTTTATTTATTTATTTTTGAGACAGAGTCTCACTATGTCACCCTCAGTAGAGTGCCGTAGCATCATAGCTCATAGCAACCTCCAACTGTTAGGCTTAAGTGATTCTCTTGCCTCAGCCTCCCGAGTAACTGGGACTACAGGCACCTGCCACAGTGCCCAGCTATTTTTGGTTGCAGCTGTCATTGTGGTTTAGAAGGCCCAGGCAGGGCTCAAACCTGCCAACCTTGGTGTATGTGGCCAGTACCCTACTCACTGAACTACATGTACCAAGCTGCCAAGTCTTTGAAATGTACCTTTTTTTGTTTTACTAAAATGTATTAGAAAATTCAATTTTCAGAAATAATAGATCAGATTTCTAGAGGAAAAAACATAGTTGCTTTGGGTGGTTACTAAAATAGCTTGTCAAGACTACAACTATTGGCCTGTAATCCTAGTACTCCAGGAGGCTGAGGTGGGTGGATTGAGCTCAGGAGTTGGAGACCAGCCTGAGCAAGAGTGAGACTCTGTCTCTACTAAAAATAGAAAAAACAGTCAGGCATGGTGGTATAAACCTGTAGTGCCAGCTAGTTGGGAGGCTGAGGCAAGAGGATTTTTTGAGCCCAAGAGTTAGAGGTTGCTGTGAGCTGTGATGCCACAGCACTCTACCCAGGGCAATAGAGTGAGACTCTGTCTCAAAAAAAAATTTAAAAAGGCTCAGCTCCCATAGCTCAGTGAGTAGGGTGCCAGCCACATACACCAAGGCTGGCAGGTTTGAGCCCAGCCCGTGACTGCTAAACAACAATGACAACTGCAACCAAAAAACAGCCTGGCTCTATGGTGGGTACCTATAGTCCTAGCTACTTGGGAGGCTGAGGCAAGAGAATCACTTAAGCCCAAGAACTTGAGGTTGCTGTGAGCTATAAGTAACGCCATGATACTCTACTGAAGGCAACAGAGTGAGACTCTGTCTCAAAAAAACAAATAAAAATAAAAAAGACTACAACTATATAATTTTGGTCTCCATGTCACAGAAAGAAGTAAAGGAAATCTAGAGAAGATATTGATGAAATTAGGCTGATATGCTGCAGTGGGGTCCAATTTCAGTTCAAAGAAAGGAAACTGGCTCGGCGCCTGTGGCTCAAGTGGCTGAGGCGCCAGCCACATACACCTAAGGTGGCAGGTTCAAATCCAGCCCAGGCCCGCCAAACAACACTGATGGCTGCAACCAAAAAATAGCCAGGCGTTGTGGCGGGCACCTGTAGTCCCAGCTACTTGGGAGGCTGAGGCAGGAGACTTGCTTGAACCCAGGAGTTGGAGGTTGCTGTGAGCTGTGATGCCACAGCACTCTACCCAGGGCAACAGCTTTAGCCTCTGTCTCAAAAAAAAAGAAATAAAGAAAGAGAACTGGTGGCACTGCTCTGGCCAAAGGGCTGGTGACCAAAAGGGATAAAGTCAAGCGCTAAGCTGGCTAAAGAGCAGACTGGATAGGAATGTAGCCTCCATTCCAGACCCAGTCATACTTCCCTCGGAACAGCTAACACAGCACCAAGATCACCAGATCATACTGCATTAGCGTTCTATTTTCTCTATAGCCACATAGCTATTCCTTTCCCTGGTCCCCCGTTATGCTAAACTTGTCCACCTTCATAAAACTAAAAGCTTCGAATCTTAGTGATCTTGCACATTCTCTTTTCTCCTATGTGTTCCATACCTTCATCTCATAAGGAGGAATCTATTGAAGGCATCTCATAATCATTTTTACATGATCAACTTCCTCCCATTTTTGAAAAAAACAAAAAACCCCCTCCTTTCCTCAATCCCTTTTTCTGTCTATCACCCTGTCTTCCTCATCAAAGTGAACACTGTCAGAGTGATCTGCATTTGCTATCTGCGTTTAATTACTTTCCATTCATCCCCCAGGTTGGTTTCCAACTCCATCATCACTCAAATAGCTCCTGAAAATGTCACCTTATGACATCTACATTCTGTTCAGAGCTAAGTTTAGTCTTCATTTTCCACCACATCCCAATCTCCTGAACTTCAAACCCACGTGTCTATCTACTTACATCAATAATTCTCTATTTTTTTTCTTCACATCAATAATTGTTCTTTTTTTTTTTTAGGTAGAATCTCACATTGTCACCCTCAGTAGAGTGCCATGGCAGCATCCTCAAACTCTTGGGCTCAAGCAATTCTCTTGTCTCAGCCTCCTGAATAGCTGGGACTACAGAGGCCTGCCACAATGCCCTGATGTTTTAGAGTTGGGGGGTCTCACTCTTGCTCAGGTTGGTCTCGAACCTGTGAGCTTAGGCAATCCACCTGCCTTGGTCTCCCAGAGTCTGCTAGGATTACAGGCATGAGCCCCACGCCCGAGTCACATCAATAGTTTTTTTTGTTTTGTTTTTGAGACAGAGTCTCACTTTGTCACCCTTAATAGAGTGTAATGGCGTCATAGCTCACAGCAACCTCAAACTCTTGGGCTTAAGGGATTCTCTTGCCAAGGCCTCCCAAGTAGCTAAGACTACGGGTGCCCACCATAACACCTAGCTATTTTTAGAGACAGGGTCTCGCTCTGGCTCAAACTGGTCTCGAACCTGTGATCTCAGGCGATCCACCTTCCTCAGCCTCCCAGAGTGCTAGGATTATAGGCATAAGCCACTGAGCCTGGCCTTGAGTGATTACTTTGAACCAGACATTACCTTTCTTTTTTCTTTTTTTAAGACAGAGCCTCAAGCTGTCGCCCTGGGTAGAGTGCTGTGGTGTAACAGCTCACAGCAACCTCCAACTCCTGGGCTCAAGCGATTCTCCTGCCTCTGCCTCCCAAGTTGCTGGGACTACAGGCACCTGCCACAACACCCGGCTATTTTTTGGTT